TAAATTTTAAGCCAAAAACCGACTTCCATATTCATTTAGGAGGGCCGTTAAGTTCTTCACGATTCAATTATCGGACCTAAATCAAATTAGTATGGAACCACCCTTGAGGTACCTCCATTCCGATAAAAAAGAAGATTTATCGAAATCAGTTATGCGGTAAGATATATAAAAGAAAAAAAAAATATTCCGTCAAATTTATAACTTTCTCCTTTTTTGAAGTTAATTAAAAAATATAGTATAGACTGGATACTAATCTCTTTTTAATATTAATTATTTGCAAAAATCGCAACATTTCACATTTCCCAAAATTTTTCAGCAAGTCCAGTGAACGACTTTTTTTACTTACACACAGGTTAGTTAAATTTCAACATTTTTTTTTATTAAAACCAAGTCAAAATGATATAAGTTTTGATATATTAACACCATTCATTTTAAGAGGTTATCTGGTTATAGTTTATACTCAACAATAAAATACAGTAAAAGTAATCATATAACCAGATAGCCCACCAACCCGAAAAGTGTAAATATCTACATATCGTCACCTGAAATGCAAAATAACGTAACAACATCGTCACTGAAATGCAAAAAGTCGTAACTTATAAAAAATTTAAAATTCACGTTTTGATTGCTATGATGGATTACATCAAATTAAACCCCCCCCCCCCCGCCCCACAGCGTTTTATGAAAAAAAAAATTAAATAAAAAATTAGTCACGACTTTTTCCATTTCAGTAACGATGTTGTTACGTTATTTTGCATTTCAGGTGACGATATGTAACTGGCACACAGTGTTCAGGAAAATAGCAGTGCGACGTGTTTACAAGTTTATGAAACTAAATAAAAAGTTTAGAATGTGTTTTTTTTTTTACAACAAAACCCATACAAATCAAAGTTTCAAATCTCTTCAAGAAATTTTCATAAATTTCTAAAACTTGTTCTTCAGAATTTTTTAGAATAGAATCCATTAGAATAGTCCATTCAATTTTAGTGCAAGTTTAAAGTGCCTCAAAATTCGCGTTGATTTTTGAGAATTGCAAGTGTTATGGAAGAAAATCCACCGTCACCAAAATATATATATATATATATATATATATTAAAAATCAACGCGAGTTCTAAGCAACTTGAATATGCATTTTAATAAAATTTAAGAAACTATAAAACTGCATATAAAAAAGACTGATAAAAACCTTAAATTTTTTGATTTTTTTATTAATTTTATAGGAAATTCGAAACTTCCCATTTGTATGGGTTTTGTTTAGAGTTAACTGTATTTACAAAAAAATTAAATATTAAAATTAGGTAAAAGGGAATTAAATCGGCAAAACTTGTCAATACGCCATGCTGCTATTTTCGTGAACACTGCTGTACTTACATACTCAAAATATTCAAATAGTATTATTGTTACTGAGAAGGTTTTTCGTCTCATGAAAATTTCTCTAAAATGAACTTGGCACTTTTCATCTTTAAGTAACTTTTTAATAATTATTTTAATTCAATCAATTTATTGCAAAAACACTAACTTAATGAATATTACAATTTATTTCAAAATATTTGCTATTCATGACTAACAGTTAATTTTTTATCCAACACAAAATCTTATTTTATTTAAATTCAGCACGCCTTAAATCTAATTTCTATCTTATTTGCATTTTTCATACACAATTACGAATTTGTATTCCTGTTTTTCTCTTCTTAATTCAATTGTAAGCCAACTATTACATATTTATGTACCATGTACTATTTCAAAAATAAACAGACTTTGAACACTGCAAAAATATATATTTTTTCATTCTTCTTTGCAATGACTATCCCTCCTGCATCACTTAATGTTACCCCACTAAAGCGCAGAAATTTTTACGCGCCACCCCATGCCACTTGCCACTGGTGTTGTTCTTGGTGTTTCATGAATTGTTTTTTATTTTGGTTTAGTGTTATACGCTGCTGTATCCGGTATTCAACAATCGCTACCGCTTAACCATGCTCCTCTATTTCCGACACTTCCGCCTCTGTCGCGGCTCGCTTTGGCCTCACGACTCTAATTCCAGCAACCTTTGGCTACGACTCGGTATATATGATGCAGCGTTTGCCTTTGCCCACCGAAGCTAGCGCATTGCTGTTGGGGCACCAACTGACCGCGTTCACCGCAGAGCTGTGAAAGAAACCGGAACCAGAACTGTTAAGTTGTTGGTCAACAAAATAGAAGAACAAAAAAAAAAAAAAAGAGAAGAAAAAAGAACGAAAAACATTGCGAAAACGCAACCCAAAAATTTAAATGTGCTTGAATAGATATTACGAACAAAAAAAATGTGAAATATGAATGTTATAGGAAATTATTAGATGTGCAGAAAAAATTTAATTAGTATGAAACATTAAAGCATATATTCAATTGTGCCTAGATAAGTGTAAACTAGGAATGAGAATTTTTTTTTTTATTTTATTTTTTTTTATTTAAAGTCATGTGATGACATATGTAAGATTTAAGATTTGCCAAAGAGCCAATAGCCCGAACATTACGCGCCCTAAAGAGAAAATAATAAAAAACTAAAACCTCCCTATTATAATTGCCATTCGTACTGTCATCAGGTATGTAACTTGAGAATAGAAATCGCTGCATCTTTTAGGCGCATCAATATTACATAGTTACATCCCGAGCTAATAAAAGGAAGGTAAAAAATGGGCGTTATTGAAAAAGGGGAGTGGCACCTGCCATGCAAACTGAATTTTTTATACTACATATCTGTGGAAATATTTGTGGCAGAGAATTGGAACTTGGAAGATATACGAAATAAATCCCAAACTCATTGGGGGAAAAATTTTGATACACGTTATTGTAAATAGGGGCGTGGCACCTCCCAAACAAAAAAAGTCATACTGTGTATTTTTGGGTGTGTTGTTAGTACAGTACCGGAAGATATTGACAATAGTGGTGCTTATTTGTAAAGGTGGTGCGCCACCTCCCATACATACTCACACTTTGATACTGCATACAATATATCTGTGTTCGTATGAAATAGTAGCGGGAAGCTGGCTTTAATATAAAGCGGCATTCCTTTTATTCTTTAACTTACAAAGAATTTTTTAATGAGACTTAATAAGAATATTAACTTGCTAATATCGGAACTATTTCTTGCACGCTTATTTGAGAAAAGCTCTTCAACGGCTTAGCGCCAGCAAGTCATACGACATAAGCTGCTATTCCATACGATATATTGTAAAAGGTTCCGAGGTCTCTCTTATACAAGTGAATTTTTCATACAGCAAATCTCCCGAAGTATTTTAAATAGGGTAGTCGAATTTTTACGTAAATTTAACAAATTTCGGAGTTAATGGAAAAGGGGTGTGACAACTCTGGTATGATCTTAAATTCCCAACTCTGGAAGAATTTAGTATTAATTGAAATACATACATGTGTAAAGTAGGAAACATTTTTTTTATACCCGAGCGCACTTGTGCACAAGGGTATTATAACTTTGTTCACATAACGGTTGTTTGTAACAGGCAAAACGAATCGAGATAGATATAGACAAATGTATACATAAATGATCAGAATGAAAAGAGAAATCGATTAAGCGGTGACTGTCTGTCCGTCCGTCCGTCCGTCCGTCCGTCCGTCTGTGCACACGATAACTCGAGTAAAAATTGAGATATCTTAACGAAACTTGGTACGTGAACTTCTTTTGGGCGTGGGACGGATGGTATTGAAAATGGGCGAAATCGGATAATAACCACGCCTACCTCCCATATAACGGTAATTTTAAGAAATACGAAAACTGCGATATTTTAGTAACTACTGAAGATAATTCACTCAAAATTGATACTTACAATGAGTTTCAGACGGAAAACATGAATATTATAAATTTTTGGAAAATGGGCGTAGCCACGCCCACTTATGGTTACATGTGTATATCTTGGTAACCGCTGCACCAATTTCTTCCAAACTTGGTACAGTTGTTGGCCTTAGTACAGCATACTAAATGGCTGAAAATTTTAAAAATCGGACAATAACCACGCCTACCTCCCATATAACGGTAATTTTCAGAAAAACGAAAACTGCGATATTTTAGTAACTACTGAAGATAATTCACTCAAAATTGATATTTGCAATGAGTTTTAGACGAAAAATAAGAATATTACAAAATTTTAGCAAATGGGCGTAGCCACGCCCACTTATGGTTACATGTGTATATCTTGGTAACCGCTACACCAATTTCTTCCAAACTTGGCACAGTTGTTGGTCCTGGTACAGCATACCAACTGGCCGAAAATTTCTAAAATCGGACAATAACCACGCCCACATCCCATATAACGGTAATTTCGAGAAATACAAAATCTTCGATAAATCAGTAAATATTGAAGCTAATTTATTCAAAATTGATGATTGCAACAATTCTTTACCAAGAAATACGTTTATGACAAAATTTTGGAAAAGGGGCGTAGCACCGCCCACTTGTGATCACATATATGTATCTCGCTAACCGTTCTAGCAAGTTGTACCAAGCTCGGTATGGTTATTGTGCTTGCCACATAAAAGCAAACCGTTGAAGATGGTTGAAATCGGACTAAAATTGAGGCCGCTTTTCATATAACGGTAAATTTCAGATATGCTTGAAATTTCAATATTTCGAAATTTAAGGACGCTAATTTACTTAAAATGTATACATCATGTAGCGGTAGCTTTCGGAAAGGTGGAAAACATATATTTAATACTTGCGCCGGGTATTTAATGTTCGGCTCCGCCCGAACTTAGACTTTCTTACTTGTTTTGGGGTATATTTTTATTTTTTTTTTTGTTTTTAATCAAATAACAAAATAGTTTTCCATAGAGAACCATCGTTAGTCAGTCCAACTAACAACTTTGGTGCTTCTTTTGATTTTTTCGGTTATTGTGCGTAACATTTTTTTCATTCAAAACTTTGAGTAACTTGAAATTTTACTTTACATTTCTGAAACTTATAATCATATATCTACGCTGACCATCCGTCCTGTATTATACGGGACAGTCCTCTTTTACGACCCATTGTCCTGGTAATTTATTTATTTTATACGGGACGCCAAATGTTCTGTATTTCTTTTAATGTCCTGTATTTGTCCCGTATTCGGCGCTCCGAAGCCTTAACAGCTCATTAAAATGGCTTGCCTATGAACGAGTTTTAAGTGATTTTGGTATATAATGGCAATTTTCTTTATAAACAGTTATTATTTTCTAATCTGAATACCTGTGATTCGAATCGAAGAATACATACAGTGACCAAAATATAAATTGAGACACGACATTTTAGTAAGTTGTGGCTATTTTTCTTTAGTTTATTTAATGTTTATTATTTATTTTATTAAAGTAAAGCTCTTTTCACAAGAAAAACTATAAAATTAATTCTGCAATGTTTCACCAAAATTTCAAACTTTTTAATTAGAATCTTTAGAAAAAAAATTGGGTTGCAGTTTTGTAACTCATTAAAATTGAGTTTAATAAAGTGCGAATGGAAAGTGCTAATCATTTGCTTCTCTTTCAAAAAAGAAGGCCGAACATACATAATTTGTATGAAAAAAAGCGTAACAGTCAAGAAAAAAAAAAAAAAATTGCCAACAATTAGTGGTAAGCCTTACCGACTTAAAATTGCACTTTCTGATACTAAAATTTAACGAATTTTTTTAACAAATTTTATGGGGTAAAAATCTCGAGAAAATTATACTACAAGGATACTCTTTAAGGGAAAACAGTGTGGACAAAATTTGCAAAATAATTTTTTGTCCCGTATTCGGCTTTCATAAATATGGTCACCGTACATATATCTAATACTTCTATATTGATAGTAACGTATCTTCACTATGTGGTTTTATTCCGCAATCAAAGGGAGACAGCCTATCAAATAAATGTTTGCTTGTGTTAGTATAAATGTATATTTGTGAACTATTACAAACAAACCACTGTCAAGTCACTCCAGGAGCGGTTTAAATTACAAATATTAAAAAAATAGAAAAATAAAATAACCAAAAATTTTTCCCTGAACGTGATTGGGGTGAGCTTTGTGGTAACTGGCGGATTTGAATAAGCAGCAAGAGATGTATAAGTTACACTTGAGGCGATCACCATAACCACTCTTAAAAGATAGGATGAGAGGATCCGTGCCTTCCTTTCCAGCACCTTAGCCAGCATGTAGCGTCTGCCCGTTTTCCCTGATACGGCTCATTTTTAAGTAAATAGTATAACATACTGACGCGTGCAACACGATTCCTTTTTCCTTACTTTTTTGTTCAAAAGTTAAACACAATTTTTTTTTTCTTTAATTAAAATTTAATTTTCTAAAATATTGACGATTACTGCACCGCTCCTGATTTTTTATTCTTTTCAAATGTCATTCTGAGTACATTGGTTGGTTGGTTTTCTCGTTCTATCATTCTATATCTGCACTCTAATGTTGGCGGATGTACTTTCAACGTACTGTCAATATAGAAGTATTACATATATGCTAATAATACTATAAATTCGTGGAAAGAGATCTATATCAAAACTTAATTTTCATATTCTTGCAAATATTTTTTTAATACTTTTTTTTGTCTACAGAGTGATTAAAAACTGAACCATTCGTTAGGTTCTTTAGGTGCCGCATTCTTTAAAATGGCGTCTTTTAAAGAGGACTATATAACTAATTTGAGACAGTAGTAGTTGTTTTTAAATTGTATAAGGTTTTTAGTGAGTAATACCAACTTTTAAATAAAGCTGGGTTTGGAAAGAAAATGAGATTATACAGGGTGTCCAGCCCACCCGTCCACTCCCTCTAAATTGGAGTGAAATTTTTTATTTTTTTATTGAATAACGAAAAAATATGAATTTTGTTAGTTTCAGTACTTCCGAATAAAACGTCCTAGCCCACTCCTTTGACAAGCTTCGTATCTATTTTCAAAACTCATATTTCTCAGTCAGCAAACAGTGATCTTTGAGTGCTCAACGCTCTTCTGGCACGCCAAATTTGTGCATTTCCGACCGAGTCTATATATTTTTCATAAGATATGTCTAGAAAATGGCACGAATTCTACTATGGTAATAAAAAAATGTTCGGCAAAGAAAACCTAATAGGAACAAAATGTTACATCTCGCCAAGTGATTTAGTATAGTATTTTATAACTAACAAATTAACCGTTGGTGTTTCAATGAACTTTATTGAATAGACCCGAAGCCCATTTAAAGAATATATATATCTGATAAAGTGCAACCAGTATTTTTGATCCAAATTCTGAACAAGTTTCCAACAATATCTCGTTTGTCTGGTTGTCTGTAGGCATTAAAAATTTTCCGTTGATACATATTGTGTTGAATTAGTGAGAAATTGGCAACAGCAGTTCCCGATATTCATACACGTACACTTGTGATCAGCTGATTAAGTCATCAGCATTTTCATAAATTTTGGCTACTTATTTTATTTGCTTATTTAATGTTTATTAACGCTTTGGTTTTTAATAATTTTTTTCTGACTGCACGACGCATTTTTTCCATACAAAAAAGAATTTCGAATTTATTTTGTATGGAAAAAAATTTGTAATGCAGTCAGAAAAAAAAAATTATTAAAAATCAACGCAATTCTTTAGCTTAAAACTTGCACATTATTACCCTGAAATTTAATGCATGCTCAAAGAATTCTAAAAAATCTGAATAAAAAGTTGAAAATTTAGCCGAAACTTTGCAGATTTTTTATAATTTTTGCACAAAGTTTGAAATGTGGATTTATACGGCGTTTGTTGTATAATGAGCTAGACTATGGTAAAATAATAGCCAAAATTTATCAAAATGTTAATGACTTAATCAGCTGATCACAAGTGTATGCAATATTGAGTGATGATATGTTATATGTGTATATGACAGCGTATGAGGAATTAAGCAAGAAAGGTTTCCCTAAAATCCAAATACTTTTACTTACGTGTGTCCTTTTAGTGTCGCCTCCAGTTCTCCCATGACATTCCAAATATAAACTAAACCATCGGATGACCCACACGCAACCTTGGAACCGCACGAATTGAATGAGGCTCGCGCCCAATCACAGCTGAGTTTGAAATTTTCATGGCTGTGAAAATGCAAACACCGATTACATCGATATATATGCCATATGTGTAAACCAATAAAACAATCAAATGATATAGGTACTAATAAAATACTTACGAAAACGATGAAATTATTTGATTTTTGCGTAAGTCTAATAGTTTAATTGTATCATCTCTAATCGAACAAATTAGGTAGTAGCCATCTAAAACAGAGAATTTCATTAAAAACACTTGTATGTACATAAGTATATATTGTATTATTTCAAACAAATTCTATATTGTATTAGAGTTGAGTTTTATTCTATGAATTTAACGAATTCAACTTAGTTACCCTTTGACAGATCAATCGATGTGATTTTCGCTGGCATCAATATATCATCCGCTTGCTTCTCTGTGCGTATATCCCAAAAGCGCAGCTTTTTATCATAATGCCCACTGATGATGGTTGAGCCGAGACTGTCAGTGGTCACCAGATCGTTGCAGCTTGAACCGGCGAATTTCGTTTCGATGCAGGCAATGCTGCGCAAATCCCAGATTTTTAGCGTGCGATCATGGCTGCCGGTCACCACCTTAATAGGCTCTTGTAGATACTTAGCCGCCATTACTTTTCCGCTATGTCCCGTCAGTGTATGCTGAAGAGAGAGAAGAAAGAGAAAATATATGTTTAAATTAATAGCCAAAAATCTGAGGAGAGAGCGAAGTTTATGAGCAGATTTCTCAAAGATAAAATCTTGACTACGACCGCCAGTATACCGAGTAGCAAGTGGACTAGACCACTGAAACCTCTGATCGGAACCACCTGGTAAAAATTCTTAGTTATGAAGAAAAAAAGATAACAGCCAACAACTCGTGGGACTTTTGCATTTTTTAAATGAAAAGTGGTTGTTTCAAAAAGATAACATTTGTCCGCAGTCAAAGGCCCCTTATAACTTGTAATTATCTTAATGTTTTGAGTTAGCTTTTCTAACATAAACAAAAAGATACAAAAAAATATAGATAATTATTAAAAGCTTAAAATATCATCCAGAGAATGATCTGCTTTTTTGTTATATCTGCTAACCCAAGTGCAAAAGAGTTAAGTTGTATTAAAGACAAATTCTTTCGCTAAGGCTGGTATGCAGCTCTCAAGGAAACGGTCAAGAAAAAATTGCCATTATTTCGTGTGTGCGTGTGTGTCCAAGGAATTTTGACAACTGATACTTGCCTCGCTCTTTCCTCAAGAAATAATGAAACAGGCATATATTTCTGTTGCAAGCATGGGTTGCCTTGTGCTATTTTTTCACAAAAAACTTTAGTAAACCGTAGTAGAAAGCGTAGCAAATTTCTTAAAAATTGCGTACTGTCTCAAGAAAATTTTACACAAGAAAATTTCTTAGCAACATACTGGCCTTTATGAATTTATTACACAGCATAAAAAGAGAGCTATTAGTAGGAAAAACACATTATTCCTCTGAATGCGCGTGATGGTATCACTAGTCACTAGTAGAACATATTTTCACATGGCTCACCAGTTGGTAGACGCCAAACTGAGTTCATAGAGTTTTACGGCAGGTGTTGCAATTAAAAATGTTGTTTGCATTTGATGAGTAATTCCACTTTTTTTGAGTCAATAAACCTTTTTTTGACTAGGCTCATTAGCTTAGGCAGAAAAAAAAAACAAACAATAAACTTAGGAAGCTGGGAGACCTGAAACTAAGGTGTATTTTATTTGAATAAAAAAGCCAACAAGCATAGTATACAAAAAAAAAAATAAAAAATAAGAGTCGCATGTAATAATTCGAAGAGAAATACCAAGTAAAGCAATAAAAAAGCGTACATTATTTAATATTCTCTTGTTAAATAACTATTTTAGTAATGTGGTTTTGAAAGTTGCATTTGTTATTGCGGCACTTTACGGAAGTTAATACGATAAATTCCGCATAAGAAAACATTGTAAAGGATTTAAATGCTTGAGCAAAGTAAAATGGCTTTCATTCCAAGAAGAAGAACTCGGTACATCAGTTTAAATTTGACGCTCCTCTATGGTTTCTCAGGGTAATTATTTTCAAATTAAATTTGTTTGTTACTTTTTCTGTAGTATTTTTTTACTTTTACTTAATTATAAAAACGACCCCTATGCAGTGCTTATGTCACTGTCATTTTGAACAATGAAAAATTTGGAGAAAAGTGGTTAAAATGTAAAAATATGTTGGCCAGTTTGATTTCTATGCAGCATTTCATCAAAGCACAGGAAAAAAAACTGATTATTTTCTTGATTAACTTGAATAGGCACAGTGGTTTGAACACAATGAATGGTTTAGATTTTGAACATGCGCATATCGTTCCCTAAAATGCAAAAACGATAACTAACCATTTCTTTTTTTTCATAAAACAGGCCCCCACGGCTTGTAATTCGATGATATGCATCATAATCAGCCCAACCACAGTTGGCTTCTGTGGGCAAGTAAGATGGCCAACTCTTAACTTTTCGCGTTGTTTCCTCAAATTTTCTTAAAAATTTGGGATTTTTCAAAATGAGATTAATGGCTCTATTCTGTGTCAGCAACAAATTCTTGTCACATTTAGTACAAGTAGAGATATGTATAAATCTGGTTTCTGAAGAAAAATAATGCGACTATTCAGGCGATGCGGAGTGTAGTATGTTAGCTTCATCAGCCAACCTTCATATCTAAGGATGTGCAATAAATTCATTGATTCTATTAACTCTTTTCGTCTTTATACACAAATAAGTGCTCTTTCAAGTGACATGCAATATATTTTGCTCTATCTTTTGAACTTTTGGCTTCCGTGGGCAAGCATTTAAATAAACCTCATATCAAGGCCTGCGGCAGGCATTAACTCTCGCATTTTGATACTAAATGGAATCAATGAATTGGGTTGTTTCCTTCCTTAAAAAAGGCGAGCTTTTACAAGGCGGATATGGAGGCATTAAATTCCAAGTCGACATATTACAAGTACAGTTAAACGAAGTTACAAGCGGGAATTGGGTCACACAAATGCCAAGTACATTTGAGACGCGTACAATGTACAATATTGGCGCTTGCTCACAAAATGATTATCTCCAACACTGGTATCGGTTCAATGCAATACATATCTGTATCTCTTTGTACATATATGTAGGCAGGTTTGCTTTCTAGTTTTTTTATTATTTTTATTGTTGTGTGTGTGCTTAGCTAGGATCAATTTTCTCTATTTTATTTATGTGCACTTTGAATTTTATTGTACAGCCTTTAGGGTAAGCTAAAGTAAAAGATATAAATAAAAAAAAATGGTCAAGTGCAAATACTAACAGATCAGCATGTTTGCTATTGTTGGTAACTGTGGATGTGCGCAAGTGTGCATTGCTAGTGTTACACACATATTTACCTACCTGCATATATTACTAGGTATTGCCTTGTGTTGCTAAACGCCCAACTAAGGAAGAAATAAATTGTTTCTTTGCGCACAAAAGATAAAATTGCTTGCTAATAGCAATGACAGCCAGCACCGAACAACAGCAGCAACAGTCAAATAGCAGCAAATGGTAGCAGGAAATGACAGCTATGCAGTCAAAGCGAAATGTGAGTTTTAGATACTTAGGTCCAGCAGCCAAGACTGAATGGCATATACACCCAAGCAGTTGCTTGTGGCCAACGGCAGGACATTTACGCCAGCAATCGTCAAAGCAAAATTAAAAGAAAATGCCACTCTGCCTGCTTTTTTGGATGCTGTATGTATATTTTTTTAGTAGTTAGTGTTGTTGTAGGTGCTGCTCCCATTCCATTCATAAGCTAAAACTTAAATGAATTGTTGAAATTTATGAGTAGCCATTTAAATGTCATAAGTCAGAGAATTTACAGTTTAAGCCGGGAATTTGACAGCAAACTTAAATTCCAAGATGTAAAAATATAATGGACTTTATTAGCAAGTCATGAATGCAGAAATAAAAACAAAAAATAACTGAAAGAGTAGAAATATAAGTGTTTAGATATAGGCTAGCATGTAATATCTCAAAAACTCGCAAGAGGACTCGATGACCTATGACGTTACAGTAGGTTAAAAACCTAAAATATTTAGGAATCTGGTTTGCCACCGGCTTAAATTGGAGAGACCATAAATAAATGAAACTTGGAATTAATATCTATACATATAATAAAATTGTATCAGGCCGATATCTGTGCATTATAGATATTAAAGAAAAATTAAAAAGGGGCAATGGGTCTTTATTGGAGCAACAAAAGCCAAAACAATATTTTTTACAATATTTGTCTGTCTCTCTGTATGTTTGTTTGTACGCGCATCACTCGTAAACGAATGCAAAGAAGCGAACGCAGTTTTCACCGATGCATTGCTAAAGGACTAACTTAAAATATAGGAAAAAATAATTAGAGAGTAGCTACCTGTTTAAAAAATGCAGTTTAAGTAAATTGATAAGATACTACTTCGTTTTGTCCTCGTTCACCACCATACCCACGCGCTTTGCTTTCCTATCTTATTTCGAAATGAAAGCCGAAAGGAGTCCACCATTTCCCTAAAGAAAATAGGTTAATCAAAAAGACTTATGTAAATTCGAAGTTACCGCTAAATAGTAGTACGCGGTAGCTGTACGCAAAATTAAAAAAAAAAGTCTCGTAGAATTTACGTGGTGGAATTTTTATATTATTTCTTACCTAAAATCTCCGCAAATTAATAATTTTTTTTAGGGGAAACCATCGCAGGCCTTTGTAATGTAAGTTGTAACTTTCTGATTTCACAAACTTATCTTTTTTTGGCATTTTTTTTTTGCCAGTAGAATTAAAAAGAAAACCAGTAAGGTGAAGATATCTTAATGCACTGCTGTCACTGCTAAATTACTACTCTACATAAACTTGAGTTGATCACTGAAAGCTTCTACATTTGTAGTTATAATAAGGCGTATTCCAAAACCTGTCCCAAATTACATTTTTCACGCACTCCTACATAATTACAGAGCCAAGAACACTTAAGCGCAAATTTTTGAGCAAATCATAATTAACAGCCTTCCTTGTCATTAATTTAGGTTGCCACTACCATTTACCTGCTTTACCTAAAATATAGGTATATTAACGCAGCAAATGGTTTCGGACACTTTCAGGCGGCTGCTGATGAATTTTGATGACGGTGATTAATTTTATGCGCGCGAGCCAACGCTTCCATTGTACATACGTATATACATTAGGGTGGTCCAAAAAAGTAAAGTAGGAATTTTAATGCTCTCAACCCCTAGGATTGTTTTATATCGAAAAAATATATCCCTATTTTATTTTGAAATCAACCAATGTTTAGAGGACACTCAATATTGATTTTCAAGAATTCTATACCATTTCTACGTAAAGCCGTTTATCCCCCATATAAAATACATGAAAAACTTTGAGCGCTTTGAGCGACTTCTAAAGACTTTTTGATTTCAAAATAAAAAATAGGGCTTAATTTTTTCGGTATAGAACAATCCTAGGGGGTGAGAGCATAAAAATTCCGACTTTGATTTTTCACATGCACTTTTGGACCACCCTAATGTACACTGCATGTGCGTGTGTAAAAGCTCTTTTGTGTGAAAACGCGTAATTGCTGCTGAGTTTCTCTAAAGCAATTGATTGTTGTTATTTTTTTGAATGTGGCCTAGATAATTTTTTGT